AAACAGGCTGCTTTCGCATTTTAGCACTGGCCTACACTGAGTACTGTAAGTTGGTGTGCTAGAGTCACAAATCCACCGCCAAGAACGAGGCTGGTATGAGTGTCATATTCTCTATCTCATGGAGTTGCCTATGAGTAGATTGGAAAGTTCGGAAATAGCTGTGCAAGTATGGTGGATTCAATGCGTTCTGGCTGCCGAATCAGATACATCCACAGTCAGAAAAGTAAGGGGAGCCCTGAACTGATTCATAAAATGAATAACAGCTGAAGAGGCTACAAGAAAAGTTCTATGTAAACTAACTATACTTTTCCTTGGTTCATCATAGCCCCAACGTATGTCAGCCGGATAACTAAGCAACTGAACTCAGCAGCAATCTTTTGCTTACATTACAATCTTTCCATACTGCAAATAAATTTAGGTTGAAAGGTAGTCGGGTGACAACATTCTTCATAACTGTGACATCAATCAAGTCGGAAAAATCTGACCTTAGCACAACGGTATCAACTCAAAGGCAATGTAATAATGCAGTTATATCTTGCCCTACAATTACAGAGTCCTCAAACTTTATGAAATCGAGGTGTGACACGAATACGAGAAACTCCTACAAAAGCACCACATATTGGATCTCCTAAAAACTACTTAAATACCTGCATAAGGCTATCCAGCAAGCAATCACCGTCAGTTCGATTCCATAGGGCTAGAAGTCGACTGGTAGGCTGATTTTGTTGTCCCTCAACGACCCACCAATTGATCACTTGGCTTCGAACCTCCAGTTCTGAGGACACGAAAAAGAGGAGAATAAATGAAGGATACAATCACGAATTCCGTCTAATGAAGCAGAAAACTAACCATTTTGAACCTCAGTATCACAGAGCTCTTTTAACATCACCTCCCGTGATGAGCAGGGCAAATCTCTGATCTCTGAGGGGAGATAAAAGGTACCGAATTCAATAAGGTAGGAGCAGCGAAATGACCCCCTCCGTTGACGCACACATGAGTCCAAGAGTCGCCGCAACTCCTTTGCTGCACAAGCGCTTGACTGGCAGACCGAACGCTTGGCACCTGGCCTTGTCAGAGAGCTTGTCGGATAAAGGGCCGAAAGACTACTGACCCACTCGGTCCGATTATAGAATCTCGCTAAGTCAAGTAGCGAAAGGCCAGGTTTGAGGACATTACTCTCGCCACTTGACCACTGTTCCAGCATCTGACAGTCCTGTGGGGTGAGTTGGCGAGAGGAGAGAGGAGACAGAGATCCGGCAGTGAGAATAAACTTTTTAAGAACATCAGAATCACCCGTGATGACGGCCTTGCATGCAGAAATCCAGTCGATGGTGGAAGTGATAGTACAGCTGCTAGAGGAGGCAAGAGATGATGGTGGAGGAGAGGATCTACACATGACACAGCGCTTGGATTTCGGCCAATTTTCATAAGTGCATGAAGGACAGATCCACTTAACGACACCCAATGACGTGAGGGATGGAGAAGAAGGTAAGTAGTCAGTAGAGGGCTGCTTTGAGGTGGAGGCAAGGGGTGAAGTGGTGCCGCATTGAGTACAACGGCCGGATGCGGCCCAGTTGTCATAGGTGCAAGTGGGGCAAGACCAACCCCCGCTGAACAACTTGGAGTTGCTCGTATCAATGCAAGGTGACTTGTTCTCCACTGGATGGTATAAGGTCTGCCGTGGGGCGTCACAGAGAGTGCAACGTAGGGAACGTGGCCAATTCTCGAAAGTGCAGCGGGGACACGCCCATTTTCTAGCATCCTCGGCCATTTTATATTTCTGCCAAAAGATCGACAAGTGCCAAAATATCACAAATTCCATGTATACCTATTCTTATGTAGGTATTACTGGAATACTGTGTGGAAGAAAGCGAAACGGTAAAATTCAGTTCCTGTCGAATATCCCAATGCATGTCATGCAGCAAACAGCTGATCAACTTCACACTAACCCTTACAGAGAATGTGAAGATGTTTACGCGCGGGGGCATAAGGCAGGAGCTGATATTGTTTACAGTTTAACTCAAATTATGGAAGGTACTTCGCTCAATAAAGTGAAGATTGTAAAATGATGCAACGACCCAGGAAGAAAACAAAAAATAGTCACATCACTTATGAAATACAAAAGTTCCGCACAAAACTTACGAAGGATTCCAAGGGGAGACTAGAGCGAACGACTGCACAAAGCAGAAAACCAACCTCGACTAAGTGAAAACGCGCTGCCCAAGCCTCATAAGGGAGTCGGTTTAAACTATGAACTATGATATATTTGGCCTGCAAATTTATCAACATAGGATACAATTAAGTTATAAGAATATTCAGAAAATATAACCTTTGCGATGCGATATTACTTGCCAGTGATTTCTAAGGAATGGGGAATTTTGTGCAAAATGTCTGTATTCCTCCTTATTCCTTCCGTTTAGCCCTAACTCGAAGGACATTATAATGCACCGCTAGATATTCCTCTATTTTACTTCAAATGTCTGTTAAGATTATTTTGAGCCTTAACTACGCACCATAACTGCAGGACGAGGCTCGTAGACCTCCTCCTCCCCCACAGTCTTAGAACACCCAGGTTGATTTGACTTCGACAGGTTTATTAGGATAAGTAATTGGCTGAAGCAAGTACAAGTTCAGGGGGTGTGGACACAGAACCACTCTCTGGGCTGCAGCGCGATGACGCCTCAGTCAGGAAGTTCAACTCGTATGCCCGCCTCCTCACTCTTAAAATAGTACCAAACATTTTAAGTATTGCGGTAACTGTACCTAGCAACCTGTTTCCTTTTATCCTGTTGGGGATTATCATGAGCATTCTTCATTATCCCCATATACATCTTTACCTATATTTTGTTTAACACTGCATTTGAGTTGCTATGTTTGAGCATACTTTTCCCTGCAGCTGCATTAAGTTAATCATTTACTATTGGTGTTTATCTACTCTGTAGGGCTTTTTAGAAAATTTGTTGTCAATTATAACACAAGTCATAGTCCAAATAATAGCTAATTGCCTTTGGGTGTCACCTTGGAGCTATCACTTATTGTTAGTATGGATCTACCTAGTCCCCGGGCGGTGCGTTTTTCACCCCTCTATATTTACAGTTTTGGTTTTCTACGAGTTAGCGCCTAGTGTATGGCATGTGACTGTGTTTCCTCTTCCCACAAGATATATTTTCTGTTGGTTTAGCCTATAGCGCCATTACTTCATGTTCCCCTTGCAAGTGAGACCCCATCCTGTGTATTTTTTTCCTGTTCTAAGCAAAGATTATCCATAGTATTTTTGGAAAAGGAAGCGGGCTATTTACAGACTGGAAACTTTGTATGGCTCTTGGCAGTTTTTAGCACTCAAATGCTTACTCCTACTGGATGTGTCAAATGAACATTTCTACTCAACCACCAAGTCATTAAGTTCTAATTCAATGATTTCTTTCAGTACCCTAAAATGTACAAACCCCATATGATACATCCCACTCTTATCATTATTATTGCTATCATTGATGAACCATCGGAAAATGGTTTTGGTGACCTCCTCAGTTCTAATTTTAGCGGGAATATCTACTATGTGACTATCACAACTTGTCATTATTTTAGGAGGAAAAAGCCGTTCTCGAGTCAATCTACACTCTTGATGAGTTGAGTATCTCAGACGACTACAAAATCCAGTTTAGGGTAATCGTAATCCCAACCTTCTACGAATCACCAAACGCAGCTAGGCACTCCTGGCACTCTTGGATCTTTTGTCGTCAACATCACATGGCCCAAAGGCTACCCTTTCACTCCCCCAGTCGTGGATTTGGACGAGTTTTGTAATCATCACGTTCCCCAATCCATGAGAGATTCCATCATCAAGGAGCTGAATGAACTGGCATTGGAGAATAGCGGAGAACCTCTGACATTCACTCTTATCGAACATTTGCGAGACAACATAGAGGAGTACGCAAAGCAGTTAAAGGAGTTCAAAAAACGTAATACTGATTCAAGTATAAAGCAGGCAGAGACGGAGGAAGCGATGGTTGGTTGGGAGTTAACTTCCGATGCCTTTATTAGGTCAAGAGGGCAACAGTGGAGAAGGAGGTTCTGACGAAGGCACAGAAAAGGAAGCAGTTGAGTCGATTGGACGAGACAGGAAATTTGCCGAGAGGATGGAATTGGGTTGACGTTATCAAACACCTGAGGCAGACTGGTACTCAGGCAAATCCTACGGCTTAAATCTGGTTGTTTTCATAAATGCTCTGTGCTTTCATTGACGCTTTGAGTAATTTTCTGAGTAGGGGTACCTCCGAGTATGCAAAAATAGATGCAGATGATCAGAAACCAGAGTAGGATAAATTCGAGCGCGACACCTTTAAAGTACGTGTTTAAGCATCCCCAAGAACATATTTCTATTTCTGATAGTCAATGGCTAGAAAACTAGGCCCAATGTTTCACAAAGCCATTATCAAACCGAGTCCTGGACTTGTACCGACGAAAACGTGTTCACGATATAATTGGCCTGTCCTCCGTACAGAAAGATAATCATTCACCAACGACATGGTCTACCATGCTCTTAACGGCTCTCGCTAGGCACGCAGAGCTCTCTCGGGAATTTGCAATTTACGTGCGGATCCTGCTTCGAAGACAAATCGGTTTTGTGAATCTTCACTTCCATTACTGATTATCGAAAAGTCGGTAAGTGTAGCACCTCGCAGGTGGATGCTTCCTCATAAATGACGGAAACGAATGCTATGAGACAAAAATAATCAACTAGGAAATCAAAGTCGTTTACCAGCGACACGGCAGCCATAGGTCAAACTAGTGGACATTCATCGACACCTAAAGCTGGATGTCTTACCAAAATACGGTAAAGATTGGCTGGGTACAAGAGTGTAGGACACGGAGGGGTTTATGTTTGGAAGAATTCGATCATGCCAGCTAGAGGTGCGAATCGACGAAATCCCCATGGAGCCAGTCGCCCATTAGTCTCCCAATGATGCAAGCAGAAGTAAACATGCCAACTCTTCAAATGCTTAATCTTGCGTGGGCGGAGTAAAGGGCACCACCAAGTTCAACCTGTACATTGTGAGGGGCCCATGGAAGGAATCAACACCGTCACTGAGGCGAGTCCAACTGCGTAGAGCTAGTGGTGGGTGGGATGAAAGCCCTCAATAGAGACCCAAATTTATGCAGAGAATTAGTCAAGAACGTGGGCGCTATTTCTAACAAGCTGAGCTGTTTTATAGCAACAATGAGTAATCAGGCCTAAAAATGTTAAGGGGATTTCTTCTACGTAGTAAGGGGAAAGGAGCCGCAGTTCCAGTGACCGACCTTATGCAGCGAAAGAATAAACTAGGTAGGGCTTTATACAGCAGAAAGAAAAACACGACACTGGGAAGATATCTGTACAAGAAATGGACAATGTTACTTTTTGACCAGCAATCTCCTCCTAACCACACGTTTGGAAGTGGATGGGAGCGATTCCCTCTCCATTTTGTTTTCCATATCTTCCATCTCGATGTCCATCTGCTCGACAGAGTCTTCCTGCTTACTCTCAGCTGTTTCAGATTCCCTTGCTGAAGCAGGGTAAGCTTAATTAGAATCAACTCACCATTGGGGGCTCTAATAAGGTGCATTTGCGTTTCGACCAATTTGACATCCTCTTTCTTGCGTAATTCGATACCTTTCTTGAGCCTTTTAGTAAGAAACAGCTTTTCACGCTTTTCTTTGATATGACTAATAGTTTTTATTGCATTTACTAGGAATAAGTTCTTCTTTTGAATATCAACATACATGTTGTAACTAAATTCTCGCGACTATACTTCTGAATGACATTCCTCTTCCTTTCAAAAGTCTGAGCAAAGTCATCGCTAAGGTCCTTTTTGGCAAATTTTCTATAGGTTTTAGTCCACTTTGTCTTTCGTGGTGCTCTCTTTCTCTTAAAAGCCTTGTGGCATTTGCCGCGGCAGAATCGAAACTCCTAAAAGCGTCTATACAACTTCTAAACATTACTTTGCAGTCGTTTCGAACAAACATTATTCCATGACCCGGATAAATGGGACTAGAACAGAACCAACAGCGATAGATACGCATGTTGTAAAACTAACACGGTCCAACTCTGGCTAGGAGCGCACCGTTAGAGGGAGGATTAGCCAATCATAACTTGGGTTGGAGGATTCATTCAAACATAAGCCCGTAAAAGATAAATAAATTTGGGTTAGCTGATCAGGTATATAAATAAAAGGCCCCACAGAATTACTAGACTACGTATTACAAACTGAATTAGTGCCATTACTGGCAGAAAACGAGCAACAAATTAGTCATCGTTCATTTAAGGCCGTCTTTACGCTTGACCAGCTTACAGTGACAGCTTACTCTATTTATTTGGGCAGACAAGTCTAACTATTTAACCTGCAGCTTGCTTTATTTTTCAAAAGTGCTTCATTTCTATGACATCAACTTCAAGTGGTACGCAATATCTTCCCGAGGTTTCCTTATAAACAAATCTGAATATTTTGGTGGCAAATGCAAAAAACTTTCCATTTATCCTTGTTTCCGTATACAAATAGCAATTTGTTTGTTTTAAACTTTTGGCTCCTGCAAGAAAGAGCAGTTGTAAATACTGCCAATTATTAAATTTCAAACAGCGTCTTTAAACCTCAACTACTCTTTGATAGACTTATAAGAGCACAATTTGGCCTACTAGTATGAGAAATAGTTTATTGTTAGCGTATAAAAGGATTAGGGAGCTGTACCACCCTCCAGTCCTACCTGACGCTGGTGTGGAGAAATGGGTATTGCTGAAGTACAGAAAACTGAGATCACCGGCGTGATACATATACTATACTCCTGAGCGGATGCAAAATGTGCTGAACTTAATTATCCGCACAGTTGAACGCAGGGTTAAACAAGCACTCACAGCACCACATAGCTACGGGTGTGGCTAAAGTGCGACATAGACAATTTTGTTTACATGCAGGTAAATCCTTGAAATGAAGTAATTTTCTGCCTTTGCTTTTATGTAAGCCAATAGCTTTACCGCTCATGCTGCTCTATCTTTAAAAGATGATGGTGTGCATATCCTATCTAGATAGCTCTTAGTGGCAACGTTTTGGGAATCCACGTTAATGGTTAACAAACCTTTTGAATGGATACCCGGTACCTTGCCTTCGGACTAATGAGTTTCATGCATAGATAATTTCATGTTAATACTGATATAAATTTTAGATTTACAATTAATGGTTTTCAAGCTAAAAGCGTTGTGCCAAGCTGTTATTGCTTGCTGCAGTAATTAGGTCAAAAGCAAGGATTTGGTGTATTTATTCGAAAACACTTTCCTTCTGCATTCTATAATTTAATCTCAGTAAGGTAGTTCCTTGTTAAAAATGTGGGACTTGTTGATAAAAGCGCTAGTGGTTTCATCATCTGTGTCGCCAACTACCTCGCATAATCCCACCTAGGCTTCCTTCTATGTGAACTAAGCGTAGGTATTCACTATCTCTTATCACAGCATTATTTGTTGAAAGGCATATTGGGTGTCCGTCGAGGTGCTTTAATTGCAATAAATTTTGCAACTACTATTGCATGATTTCGAAGTAAGCCATACAATCCGATTAATGGCTTATTTTCGAGGTATTTCTTGGGTTCCCACTGCTAGTAAAATGATAAAGTGAAAGTATTTGTAGAGCTCGTTGATTTTAGGTGCCGCCGAAATTTCTCGTTCTAACTTTTCTCAAAGTGTAGCAATTTTCCCGAAAGAGAAGGCAGAATTTAACGGCCTCTGGGGAAGACTTTATATGGAGGCACGAACCGAATGCCCAAAACCTTACATCGTGTAGAGCGCAAAGATTTTATTCGCCTTGTCTTTTGCAACTGGCTAGTAAGCAATGGATTTGGCAAGGTTTTTTGACAAGTCGTGTTTTTTCAACTGCTCTTATTTAACCTTGTCACGAAAAGTGCTCATTTTTTGGTGGAAAAAGAATACGACATTTAGAAAATAGCCCCTCATATGGAAAATATAGCTACAAATCTAGTGAGCTATGGCGGAATAAAGTGGTGCACCGTTTTCCACTTTTCGTGTAAGAGGTCCAGCGGTATATTTTCCTGTTAAAAACTGTTAAAATAATTACTGTGGTTGGCATACTCCACCGGAATGCAAAAGTTTTGATACATTAGCAGAATTTATGAATTTGCGGCCATCTACCATGCCATCTAGCCTACCTCATTTTTCATCTGTAAGGGATAAACGGATTTGATGAGTGCAAATGACGACTTGCAACCTTATAAAGGTTAACGTTTTGTGACCTGTAGTAATGATAAGGCCATTTGGATCTACCGGAAATCTAAACTATGGGTTTGGTAAAGTTGAAACTTTTACCAAGAACTGATGCCAAATTTGACAGAAAACAATAATGTAGTGCTTTTGAATACCACCAACGCTGAAAAAAGAATGGATGATGTTCTATCGGATTGTCCACTATGGCACCAACCGTGGGTTTTAACTAAACATCTCGTCTTTCCAATGGAGAAGAGTTCCCTTTTCGGCCATACTGCCAAGCAAAGGGACTACCGGCGCAGACCAAGTAGAGGCGCAATTAAGTTTGCTTGTCAGCAAATATCAAACCAACGCCTATTATTACTTACTTTTCTGGACATAAAAAGTTCAATGCACTGCCGGTATGAAGGTGTTTGACATGTCTGTATTCCCTAACTTTCAAGCTGCCAAAATAAATACAAGGGCCATTCAAATTAAAACGATTTTGATGCACCGAACTATCCGTCCATCCATATCTAAGAAAAATTCAGTTCTCCTATATTGCACAAGAGAATTAATGGATAAGTGAGGCCTCAAGGCACACTGAAATATGAGTTACAACTGACTAACGGAGAAAGTCCGGACTGCAGGGTCTGATAATAAGATTTTTGGCTTTGGGAGCCTCTCCCAGTTCAACTGCGAGAGGCCTAGCTAAATTCGCTGCCAATTCACGCCCCTGGTCAGTCC